CATCGATCGGTTGGATCTAGAAATCTGTAATCTTGGTTGCACCATCTAGAATGGGAGCTTCGGCATAGAAATGCCAAAAAACCAGGATAATCGAAACCCGTTTGGGAAGACCCGAGTAAGGAATAACTACAATCTTTGACAGTGCCACAGAAAAGACCTGAATTTGGAAGTTAGGACCGAGATTGGAGAACTAAACGACAACAAGATCTTTTAGTAGGGGATTTACCAACCCGACTGCCAATTTAGAAAAGCCAGAAATCTGCGAGGCTGTTACAGAGTACACCAACCCTGGCCAGCTAGCGTGGGAAACCAGTGGTGGGGTCCCACTCACCAAGACCAGGGGCTATAGAAGTCAGGCAGGAAACCAGTCAGACAGAAAAATACTGGACGTGTCTGGAGGACCAGCCAACCAAACTAGAGGAAAAGGACATGTGCTATGAAATTATGTACCAAGACGAGATAAGGGAACCGGCACCTAATGCCAAGCCAAGGTCGAATCTTCCGGGTCATCGTTTGGAAGTAAGGGATGGACTAATAAGAAAATAATAGAAAAAGAAAAGGTCCGAATGCGGGTATTGGGATTGGAAAGTAAATCTTATAAGGGCAAAAGCAGTTAAATAGATAATAGCCCAACTGCAAGTGGGAGTCTCGGCAACTGCGCAAAACTAGGTTGGCCCAAAATAGGATAGGGAAAGCTCTAGTAGGTTTACCTCGTGGATAGTTGTGTATCTGCTTAACAGAGGAATGCAAGCCAGTAATTAGTTGGTGCAAACCTAAGATAAGTCACAAAAGTTCTAAGGCAGGGTGCAAAATCTAGAGGAATGGGCCAGATGGTAGTTCCCAAGTTAGTATGATAGGTTATAAATATAGTTAGGATCAGAAGGTTTAAAAGGGTAACTTTCTAGTTGGGTTATATGTATGATATCTAGTGTAGAACCTGTGAGCGGACTACTTAAATAGGCACCCAAAAGGTACACATATGGCTAGTTGTATCTTCATTGTAACTGTAATAACTAATAATTACTAATAAAAAGTCCCCAGGCCAAGGAGATCACCTTAATACTGAAAAAAAAAAAAAATTTAATATATATTATAATTATTACAAAAAATAATTTTATATAATACTTTTAAGAAGTTATAAATTTGCGACGAACAACTTATTTTCAACAAACTCAAAATATACAAAAAAAAATCTCATTTAAAAAACAATCTCAAAAAAGCAAACGATTTAAAAAAAATTAATATTATAAGAAAAAATAATGATATTAGAAATAGGTCTTTTTCCTATTCTCTGAAAATGCTTTTTTAATTATAAAATTATAATAGTATAGTATATACTAGTATGTATTACAATTTGCTATTGAAAATTTATATTTAATAAATATTTATTATATAAAATTGATATTTATTGTTTACAGAATTTTTAAAAATTTATTTTTATTATATAAAAAATTTATGCTCAATTATATCTATTATATTTAAAATATATAAAAAATTAATACTCAATTGTATTTATTATATAGGGTTTTTCTAGGCATCTCTGGCCAGAGGTATATAACTTATATATCTCTGGCCTTTTTGGCCAATCAAAGAACATGGAAATCACATGACTAAGGTTCATGTGGTTGATCAAACTGCCAATGTAAGATTGAACGATCTTACCCTGCCTAGATAGGTAAGTTCTTTTTTGGCACAATAATCATCTTTGATAATCATTGTTTTTGATTTTTTTTTTTTTTTATGATGACTTTCTCTAGCTCTTTCTTCTCTTTTTATTTTTTTCTTCCACTTTATTAATGTTTCGCTTTTCTCTTAGGATGTTTTTTTGGTATTTCTACAGAGGTAACCTTTTTTTTTAATATGTTCTCTGGAATTCTCAGGTATTTTTAGTGCTTTCTTTAGTGTTTCTTTGAGCTTTTTTAGTGTGTTTATTCTAGGAACTTTTGACGTTATATAGTGTGTCTCTGTGCTCTCCTGGCAATGTAAGGTGAATTCTCTATTCGGCATTGTGGATCTTCTGGTGTTTGTCCTCGGGCATTTTTTTGGCATATGATCTTTGGTGTTTGTCCTTGGCGTTGTAAACCTTCTAGTATTGTCCTTGGGCATATTTGGCATTGTGTGTGAACTCTCTGGTGCTTGTTCTTAGGCACATTCAGTATTGTGTAGTGAATTCTCTAGTGCTTGTCCTTGTGCACTTTCGATGTTGTGTAGTGAATTCTCTAGGCATGTCCTTGGGCACTTTTAATATTATGTGGTGAATTCTCTGGTGCGTGTTTTCGGGCACTTTTGGCAGTGTGTGGTAAATTTTTCTTGAACACTTTCGATATTGTGTGGTGAGTTCTTTTTCTTTGGTGCTTGTCTCCGGCATTGTGTAATGAATTCTCTGGTGTTTGTTCTTGGGCACTTTCGGCGTTATGTGGGGTGTTTGTCCTTGAACACTTTTAGCATTATGTGGTGAATTCTTCTTGGCAATTTTGGTATTGTGTAGTGAATTTTCTGGTGTTTGTTCTTGGATGCTTTCGGTGTTATGCCTGGTATTTGTTCTTGGGCATCTTCGGCGTTATAAATTCTCTGGTGTTTGTTTTTGAAACCTTTGACGTTGTGTGGTAAATTCTCCGGCATTTGTCTTTGGGCACTTTTGGCACTATAATGAATTCTCTGGTGTTTGTTCTTGAACACCTTCGGCGTTATGTGGTGAATTCTCCAGTGTTTGTTTTTGGGCACTTTCGATATTTTGATGAATTCTCTAGTGTTTGTTCTTGAATATCTTTGGTATTGTGTGGTGAATTCTCCAGTATTTGTCTTTGGGCACTTTTGGTACTGTGATGAATTCTCTGGTATTTGTTCTTGAACACTTTCGGCATTGTGGTGAATTCTCTGACATTTGTCCTTGGGCACTTTTGGCACTGTGATGAATTCTCTGGTATTTGTTCTTAAACATCTTTGGTGTTGTGTGGTGAATTTTCCGGTATTTGTCCTTGGGCACTTTTGGCACTGTGATGAATTCTCTGGTATTTGTTCTTGAACACCTTCAGCATTATGTGGTGAATTCTCTGGTGTTTGTTCTTTGGCACTTTTGATACTTTGATGAATTCTCTGGCATTTGTTCTTGAACACCTTTGGCATTGTGTGGTGAATTCTCCGGCATTTGTTCTTGGGCACTTTTGGCACTGTGATAAATTTTCTGGTATTTGTTCTTGAACACCTTTGGCATTGTGTAGTGAATTTTCTGGCATTTGTCCTTGGGCACTTTCAGAACTGTGATGAATTTTTTGGTGTTTGTTTTTCTTAAACACCTTTGGCATTGTGTAGTGAATTCTCTAGTATGTCCTTGGCAATTTTTGATATTTTTTTTTGTATTTGTTTTTGCAGTGTTTTTTGGTAGTATTTTTAGTAACCAATAAAAAATAATATTTTTTAATAAAAAAAATTTAAAAAACTTAAACTTTTTTTTGTATTATTGAATTTGATTGGCCGATTTTTCATGTTCAGAAAGTTAGATCAGATTTCGGGTTGCACAAAATTTTTCGATTCACTGACAATTTGAAAAATAGGTCACGTGACCTTTATTCATTTTAATTGGCTAATAAACCAGAGATATATAAGTTATATATCTCTAGCTAGAGATGCCTAGAAAAACCCATAGAATATATAAAAAATTTACACTTAATTATAGCTATTATATACGAAATATATAAAAAATTTATACTCGATTATATCTATTATATATGAAATATATAAAAAATTTATACTCAATTATATCTATTATATTTGAAATATATAAAAAATTTATAATTAATTATATTTATGGGTTTAAGTTTTTCGTGCACCTGCATTGTAGTGCACCCCTAATTTTAACCAATAAAAATAGCGATTTTTTGTGTC